TGATATTTCCTTTTCTTTAGTTTGGGGGTTGTTCCTTTGTCTCCCCATTTTGGTCACTCTTATTGTTTGTATCTGTATATTAGATATATTTGCTGTTTCCCAGTCTTGTGAGGTGGGATTTTGTATTGTGAGTCCAGTATAGCACAGAGGTGTGTTTTCCTTATACTTCTGAGCTCTTTGCTCTGTGCATGCCCCTTTTGTGGGTGTCCCTTTTGTGGGTTCTTTGAGCTCTCCTGTTGTGATTGGGTCTAGGTTGTTGTTGACTAGTCCTTGGGAGGACTCTCCTCTCAATTTGGCTAACTGTTTGTCTCAGCTCCAACCACATCATATGAGCTGTTGTATGGGTGCTGCCAAGGCAGGACAATACACAACTAAATTTCCAGGAAACAAGGGGTATTTTACAAAATATCTTGACAATCACAATGAAAACAACCCAAGTGAAAATAGAACTGGGAGAGAAGGGAGAACACAAATTCTAGAGGAAAAAAAAAAAAAAAGAAAGGTAAAAGAATAAAGAGAAAAAGAAAAATAAAGCTAGAGAGAGAAATGTATATTATTGTTAATAGTGACTAAAATTAAAAAATAATAATAATAAACTAAACTAAAATGTAAAAAATAGAGAAGTTACTGGGAGACAAAAGGGGTAGAGAAAAATTCTGAAAGAAGGGCTAGCATAAAATTAAGGGACAGAATAGGAATAGGATAATAGTTGAAAATGAAAAAATAAAAATACAATAAAGAGAAAAACAGAAACTAACAATCAAACAAAAAGACAGGAATACAGAAGGGAGAAAAAGAAAAGAAAGAAAGAAAAGAAAAAAAATAAAGTATGCCAGTGGATCAAGAGGAGAGAGAGATAGAGCCAGGGCACAGAGGGAGTCGAATAAGAGATATGGGGACACTATAGAGAAAAGCAGTAAACTTATTGGTTATAATGATAAAGTCTCAGCAATTAAGTAGAGAATATCAGGAAAATCTTGATAGTAGAAGCAAAGATAAAACAAAACAAAGCAAATAAACAAAACAAGACACAAAAAACAAGCTAAGTAAAACAAAATTCTTTTAAAAAATTAATTAAAAATTTTAAAAATTAAAAATAACATAAAATTTAAAAAGAAAAAAAAATTTTTCCTTTCTTTTTTTCCTAAGGGCAAAAAAGAAAAAGAAAAAAGAAATTCAATCAGGTGAGTTTCATCTGGGCAGCTTATGTTGTCTGAGGCTCACTGTTTTGTGTGCTGATTTCCATTCTCCTGGGAGGTACTTGTGTATCAACCAATGTGAGGCACTATCTACATTTGGCTCTGGTGTCCTTAGGTTGTTGGTTGATCTGAGGCTCTCTGTGGACCACCTCCACTTGTCAGCTATTTTGCAACCTTGTAGTTGCCTGGTCTTACTCCAGAGTCTCCTGTAGAGTCTTTAGGGTGCAGGATGGCTAATGTAGCTCAGGGTATCACTCCCCTTACTTAGAGGTTTCGCTGTCAAGAACTCATTGTGAGGGAGTTAGTCTCTGCTCCACAGCCAGATCCTCAGTCTCTACCCTGTCCTCGGATTCTAGTTCCCCATGTACTGGCCTGCTGCAGGTTCAGATTGACTTAAATCTGCTGCCTTTTGTGTATGGGCAGTTTCAGGAGTGTGGGCTCAGTGGGTTCGATTAAAGAATAGTCCAGTGAGCACTTTGCCTGCCCAGCCCCCAGCAGAAGTTTTCAGCTTTTCCTCCAGTTCCCAAACAGTAGTCCCTTAGAGTCTTATNCGATTAAAGAATAGTCCAGTGAGCACTTTGCCTGCCCAGCCCCCAGCAGAGGTTTTCAGCTTTTCCTCCAGTTCCCAAACAGTAGTCCCTTAGAGTCTTATTCTTATAATGTCCTCCTGTGAACTATTCTCCCTTCTCCCTCAGGACTGTGCCCTGCGGGGGGTATCTGGGGCTTCAGTGAGCTGAACCAGCCCCTTTCCTGTTGGGGGTGGTGCTCTCAGCCTGCAGGAGAGGTAGGCGTGCTCAGCTCCTCCTTTTCCGGATCTGGTTGGCTGGTCGCACCAGGTTCCCCCTCAAACGCTCTACTATGCAGACCCAAATCCCAGCTTCCATTGATCTGTCTTCCCAATGCAAGCTTGGAAGGTGGAGGCCAGTTTAGCAATCAAAACTCAAAAATGCACAAAGCAACAAGCAAGCAGAGAGTCCGCCCTGCAAAGTCCTGTCGCCCCTGTGCCAAGGTACCCAGCAGGAGGGAACCAAAGTCAGCTCCACGCAGCTCCCCTGCACCACTGATCTCAGTAAAGCTGGGGTGGCTCTATGTGTGCCACCAATGGCACCCCTCAGGGCTGGTCAAAAATCCCAGACTCTCCCCACAGGGAGCTCAGGGTGGGAGGGCTCTTCCCCTTTGCCGCACCACACAGATTAAATGCTTTCTGGGGCTCAACACAGTGCCTTACAGGAGGGTCCCTGTGTGTGGCTGCTCAGTCCTGATTTCTGGTCCCTTTCTACTCGGGTGCCACACACTTTGGAACAGTCTTTCCTATGGTCAGCACCCGGAGCATAAGACACCAGTTGTGGCCACCATTAGAAGCTTTGTTTCACTAGGAAGGCACCGTCCCCTCCTTGCGGTCACACCGCTCCCTTAGGTCCCCCTGCCCTCTGCAGGGACACTCCTTCCCCTCTCCTCTGCCCTGGGTGTGAGATCCTCGCTTTTGGGGGCTGGTCTGCACTCCTGAGGGGAGGGAGCTTTGCAGCCTCCAAGCCTCAGAGCTCAGAGCCCAACACAGGCTTCAGGGGGGACTCCCCCTTTTTATACCTCCCCTCTCTTACCAGACTCCGTGATGTTTCTTCAGTGCTCCCTACTCGAAATATGTCCACTCAGGTATATTTCTCTGGTGTTTCCAAGCTGGTTACATAGTATTTTAGTAGTAAATCAAGTCCATGGCTGGGAGCAGGGGCGCCCTGCTGCTTCTCACAGCGCCCCCATCTTCCCTCCTCCATTGGTTATTTTTTAGAGAGAGAGTGGAAGGGAGGTAAGGGAGAGAGAGAGAAACATGGGTGTGAGAGAGACACATCAATTGGTTGCCTCTGGCATTCGAGTGGGGATGGAAGCTGCAACCCAGATATGTGCCCTTGACCAGGAATAGGAACCATGATTCTTTTATGTTCCAGCCAATGCTCTAACCACTGAGCAACACCAGCCAGGGCTGGGTGCTTTACTTTTTAAATATAGAATTCACCCCTATAAAATTTTTAAAGCTAAATATTTTCTTTTTCTTCCTACAGTTGTTTGAATCANCTGGCATTCGAGTGGGGATGGAAGCTGCAACCCAGATATGTGCCCTTGACCAGGAATAGGAACCATGATTCTTTTATGTTCCAGCCAATGCTCTAACCACTGAGCAACACCAGCCAGGGCTGGGTGCTTTACTTTTTAAATATAGAATTCACCCCTATAAAATTTTTAAAGCTAAATATTTTCTTTTTCTTCCTACAGTTGTTTGAATCATTATGAAAGTCAGATGAGGTAGGCAAGGATGGAGCTTAAATGTCCATTAAAAAGAGCTTATGTTGGCATCGGCTACTAAAATTAGACTTACATTGTTGGGGCAAAATACTTGACTGTAAGGTTCTTCAACTGTATCTTGTTTTCCATTGTATCTGCAGGGTCTCGAACCTCATAGGCATTTTATAAATATTTGTGAATAAATAATTTAATCTTACAAAGATTCATCAAGTGGGTGGGGTAAGGGATAGCATGCAATAATAGGAGGAAAGAGTTATAAATTTGGGAAGGACAGCAATTAAGGACAAGTTCACCAATAAGAATTAGAGTCAATATGAGTTGAAATTTTTTCTGGCCCTATCCAGGTTTAGTTATGAAGTAAAAAATAAATGTTCTCTCTCTTGCTTTGCACCTTTCTCTCTCCACCAACTGCTGCCTCATTCACTACCTAAAATGAATAAAACTACCCAGTGTGGAGAAAATTCCAGATCATCAAATGACTGAGCTGTGTTAAGGGTCTGGTCAGTTGGGAACTATTTTCATTTGGTCAAGGCGGTAGCAGTGGTGGTTGGGAACTTTTCAGTGGGTGCAAGGATGCCTCCTCTCCCATACATGGGGGAGAAAAAGATGTAAGTCAAATAAAGGTAGGTAGAGATGTATTTGACAATATTTCTACCAGAAGAGGTAGAGATGTTTTTACTTGCAATGTACCTCATTTGTTAAGACAGATCATTCTAAGTAGTAATCTCTTAATTTCCTAACTCTTCTATTTTGTGTTACTGTGTATATGTAAATATGGAGACAATAATAACCATTATCAGAAGAACACATTTTTAAGTTATTATTGTGGTAGCAATGGCTTTTTGTATAAGTCAGTGTAGGAGACATGTGTGACCATTTTATGGAATGTGAACCATAATTTTTACTGTTTTCATTTATTAAAGAGGTTTATAGTCATTATAATTTTTACTTGTATGACATACTCTTTGTCTTATATATGGATTTTTGTATGCCAAGGCCTTCTTCAGGGACAAAATTTCCTATTATGATACATGAAAAAATATGATCTGCGTAATGTACTTCATATTCAATTTCCAAGGGCAGAATATGGCAAAAAATGTCTGGATAATTCATATCAAAAGAAAAAGAAATTAACTGAAACTCAATTTAGATCACTGCTTCAGTTTTTCTATTTGTAAAACATTATAATTGCATACTACTTCTTAATTATTTTCTAGTGTTTAGCCCTAGCTAAAAATGTCGGAAGGAAAAGGCCTACAGTCTTTAGGGTGGTATAAATGCTTGAAGTTATGGCTCTCAAATATAATATGCATAAAAGTAACCTGGGAAGCTTGTGAAAATTTTAGACTTCTGTGCCTCACCTCCAAAAATTTTATGTCAAGAATTCTAGGATATGACCTGAGAAAATGCATTTAGTAAAATGTCCAACTGATTTTGACACAGGTGGTCTTAGGCCACATATTGAGAAACTATGGTTTAAGAGAATATGAATACTGTACTTACATAGGCTATGAACCACAAGCAGAAAGCAGGAGAGATCCATTCTCTGGCATGGATTCCACAGTCAATCCAAATAGCATTTTTAGCTGCTTGTTGCTTTTCAGAAACCTGCCCAAAGAAAACCAAAAACAATGACAAGAAGCCTCAGGATAATAACTTCCATTTCTTTGGGGCTTATATTTAATTCTTTTAACAAATCTCTGACATATGCATTATTCTCTGAATTGCTTTGAGAATTCTGAAGGAAAACTAAAAGCTGGTAAGATTAAACGTGAAGATAAAATTACTGAGATCACATAGCTGGTGAGAGTCAGAATTAAGGTTTGAAGACAGGTCTATTGATTTAAAGCTCTTTTATTCTCCAACATTTAACTAGCTATAACTAGTGGAAATGTAGAAGTAGAGACCAGAGAACTAGTGCTTCAGGCACTTTCTTCACACTTCACTAGAGGTAAATGGGTATGTGTTGGGTAAGCAGCTTTTTGTGGGAGGTATGGAACAGAGAAAAGCTTGGGATAGGGGAGCCAGTGTCAAAAATAAACTTGGACTCCCTCACCATTTTTCCAAGGTGCACACTTTTTTTGTGTAGACTATTTCCCCATTTCACAAAAAAAGAAGCACACATCTAACTTCACACAAACTTACCACCAACAGATCTGGGGTCAGATCTATTGTTTTGATTCATAATATGAGGGGCTAGTGCAAGCTGTCAAGTCACTGGAAAAAGAAACTTTTCCCAACCTTTCTTTCCTTGGTGATAGTCTTTGACATTTTCAGAAGAATTCTTAAAAATACCTCCAAACAAAATGAATCATGCTCCATTTGCTTTTAAAAATTAGTTAACATAATTTTAGAGTCTAGAGAGAAGGAAGAAGAGTGTTGTAAAATAAACAAATATGTGGGGTTGAAATTCCAAAACAAGAAAAGAGAAAGTTAGATTTTTAGATTGCCATCTGCACCACCCAAGGAGGATTTTTCTTAACTAACTTGGAGAGAGTGATATTCAATGAGAAAGCAAGTGAGAAAGTCACATGCACTGACCGTAAAGGGTTAAATTGTACAAAGAAGAGAACTGCCTGGCTGATTTAATCTATTCAATTTAATAAAAACCTTGAGTTGTCTGAATTAGTTATCTTCTGTCTGTGCTAAGCAAGCTCTGCTGGTACCGGTCCCGACACTGGAAAGCTGGAGGAACCCCAGAGGCTCACATTATGTCGTTATGTGCATGTGCATCCTTGGCCGAGTAAGAGTAGGACTAAAGCATGCAGGAAGCATGACTTTCCAACATGTACATCTAGGTCCCAGAAACACAAGTTCCAATGAGTACACACAACATGGCTGAAAGCAAATGTCATGGATAGGTATGCCATGATTGCAAGGACCCAATCTGACCAACTCAGCTGCCAAGAAGACCCAATGTTTCATATGTCTGTCTTGAGTCTGCACTGAAAGCTTCTTTAGAACAGATTAAAACCCAGAAATCCTGACTCAAAATCTTATTTTTAAATGACCAAAGAGGCTCATCTATCACAATTTAGATAATGTTGGGAAACTGTGTAAATTAAATACTAGTAAATGAGATATTTTTCAAATGATTAAAATTTTTTCAGAACTTCTTTTTAATTTAAAAAAAGTATATTTTGGGGGGTGGGGAGAGTGGTAAAAAACAGAAATACAGAATTAGAAATTATGAGGCAAGAATTAGTATGGTTTTATGGCTCCCCAAAATTCTTCCTGTGGCCATATTTACTCACCTTTACTAAGGCCAATTTATTCAACTGACAATAAACAACCAAAGGGGTTGTGCCTGGAGCAGTCCCATTGCTGGGGCCCCAGAATTTTCCTGGTTCTTATCCTTCCCTGGGTTTGGCTATTCAGCTCTTTCTTTGATTCCAAAAACTGCGCCAGTGTCAGTGTTTGTCCAATAACAGGTTCTCTCTCTCTCTTTTTTTCTTCTTCCTAAGTAAGGCAGTCAGAGGTGGTGGTGGTGGACTTGAAAAATAAACCAGACCACACCCCTCACCCTTCATTTGATGACAGTAGGCCTTGAAGCTCAGGAAAGTTACCTGGCTTATCTTTGTCACATAAAAGAGACAAAGTTGATTCTAAAATTGGGGTTTCTACTCATCATAGACCAATACTGCAACTGTAAAGGGGGAAAAAAAAATCAACCCTAAATAGCTGAATATTAAAGTGGAGGAACATTTGTAATACAAATATTTCCAGAACTCAAAGAAAAAAATCCAAATTATAACGAGCACCACTGGAGAATTAACATATCCTCTGGAGTCAAAAGATCAGTGACTCTCCCTATGACATACCTTTAAAACATAAAGTGGACTCTTCTCAGATGAAGATACAATGTGGATTTTTTCAGCCATGTCAAGATACTGCTCAGTTATAACACCTATCCAGAAATAGATCTATCAAAATGGGCATAAGCAGTCAGTCATAGATCAACTTCAAAGCATTTCCCTGACCAAAGGAAGCAGACAACTTCTTCAAGGGAAGGAGCGTTCTCTAAAACCTCTGTATGTAGAAAGAATGAGAGACTAAAATACTTGGGACAGGTTTTTCTTCTGCTGTTTAGAACAGAAGCAATACACTTAAAGTTTTGAAAATTATCACGGTTTAGAGAAAGAGTAGAAAAGTACTGAGAAACTTATGACAAAGTAGGAAAAGATCATCTTGAAAGCATGCCTCCTAAGAGTTTTTTTAAAGGCTTATCCCTGCCTTAGTATATGAAATCCTCTTACCATTCATTCATGAGTTCACTTTTATATGGAACTTTTTAAAAAATTCACTTATCAAGAGTAACCTAAGAAAGCCCTGGGCACTGTTTCTCCACAGGATAAATGGTAATGCCATTATTTCCCATTAGAGATCTGTGCATTCACAACAAGATCTATGAAACGATGAGAGGCAAATGTGTAAACAATCTGAAGGAAAGAAAATTCTCTTCTAACCTGTGAAGGAGTTTGATTCTGGACCTGTCTCCTAGATGGAAGTCCAGTGGTATTTGTGATTCTGTCAAAATTATAGTGGAAGGACAAATCCACTTCAAAGCAAGTGTTGAGTGATGGAACTTGATCATGTTTGAATGTATACCAACTTCTCAGGGGCCATAATTAAATGTTTATGCCTTCTGAAATGGGAATAACCAAGCATTGGCCTTCTTGAAAAATTTCTAGATGTAATTTCAAAGAGCAATCCTAGATGATAGGGGCTTGAGCACCATTTACACTTGGATCCTCTTAGAGTAGCATAATTAGGGCGAGTGGTATGTGTGGGTGGTTGTTCTGTGCTAGGAATTAAGATACTTCTGGGAGGCATACCTGTTGCCATATACCAGTGTTGTCAATGTCTGAGGTGCTGGAGATTCAGCCATCAGGGATTTCCTCCGTGGGCCTCTGTTTACTGTGTTAATCTTCTAAGAAATGACTACATCTGAGAGAACAACTACATACAACTATTTTGTATTCCCATATGGTTCAGTAGAGTTCTTCCAACAGGGGAGGCTGTGTTGATGAAGGCAGCTTTATAAAAGACTCTATTTATTTCACAATTTAGTCTGAGGTCATGAAGATAACATCCTTTAAATAACTCTCTTCTTTTGCTATTTGTTTTGAAAGGTATTTGTTTGACCATTTGTTTTTCTCCCTGTAGTGGATTACTTAAGATTTCCCAGTGAGAGTCAATGGAAAAAGAATACCTCCTGCCCACCTTGTGGTGAGGACTGACAGAGAGGTCAGTGCTGAAAGGGAAAAAGGACTTGGAGGAATTTTCTGAGAGCAAGATCACTATGGTTCCCATGAACCTCCTAGAAAGGATTGGGGGTGGAAGGGAGGAAAAGTCCAAGACATTTTCTGGAATGTCACTGTTATTAATGAAATTGTGTTTCTCCCAAATTCATATGTTGAAGCCCATACTTCCAGTACCTTAGAATGTGATTATGTTTGAAGATATGGCCTTTAAAGAGGTAATTAAGTTAAAATGAGGCTGTTAGAGAGGGTCCTAATGCAACCTAACTGGTGTTCTTATAAGAAGTAAAGATTGAGACATACAGACGCACCAGAGATGTGCGCACACAGAGAAAAGGCCATGTAAGGACATAGCGAGCAGTCAAGGACAGACACCTCAGGAGAAACTAACCTTACTGATACCTTCATCATTGACTTCTAGACTCCAGAACTGTGAGAAAATAAAGTTCTGTTGTTTAATCTACCCAGTCTATGGTACTTTGTTATGGTAGACTAATACAGTAGACTTTTAATTTTGCGTGTGGCAGTTTCAATAAAAAGGTCCTATTTTTTATTTCCTGCTATTCTTTAGCATGTAGTGTTACTCCTAGCAGGCAGAGATACTCTTAGCTGTGGACAAAAAGCTTGCTTAGAGGCAGTTAACCAAATACGATGCAGTCTTCCCAGGGAAGATATCTACAAAAGGATGAGTTACTACTGTATGATCAACCTAATTGCAGTATTTCTTTACCTTCTTCCACCAATTATGATACTTTAATAACTTTCCATCATTTAAGTAAAAATGCTGGTTAAATGAAAGTAGTAATTTTGGAGAGAAATGTGATGGCTTACTTCATTTAAAGAGTGATAATTTTCATAGTATGAGGAGGAGGCCCGGGGGCTGATGGTGTCATTGGAAGTCTGCTGGCGGATAAGATCTTCCACATCTTCCATCAAGACACTAGATGATAAAATAGAGGGTGAGCTGGTTTTCAAAAAGGGCTCCAATTTTCCCACATGGCAGCCACAACAGGTGAGTATGGGGAAAAATGACTAAGAAATCTAACAAGCAAAAGTTCATCAAGGTGAAAACAATACCACCTGACACTGTGGTGAGCTGAAATTCACAAACCTTCTTGGTAGAGCCCACATGGACACTGGAGAGAAAGTGACTCCTATATGGTCTGTTTGCAGGGCCTCCAAAATCTCATCCTTTCCCCACTATTATCAACATTTCTCAGTTGTGCTTCATCAGTGTCTTTTATGTGAACATATAGGTTAGTAGACAACTTTCTTCAATCCAGAGTAATATTGTATTATTCTATTTTCAGTTAAAAACCAAGGAGGAAAAGAAAGCCTTTCCTTTTTGTTTTTTATTGTGACAACTGTTGACCTATACCAGATATTCTGGTTTTTTTTTGTTTGTTTGTTTGTTTGTTTTTTAGGCTTCTTTACTTTTATTGAGACCAATAGATAAAAGTCAAGGCTTTGACATCAGAAATGTCTGACTTCAACTCCTAGCTCTGTCATGTTTTAGCTGATTGACTTTGAGAAAGTCCTTTGTAAGTTTGAAAAAGTTTTTCATCTGCATAAGGAGGAGAGTGTTTACCTCACAGGGTTAAATAAGGATTTAATGATACAATGTATAAAAAGGCTCAGTTCCTAGAAGGCAGTAAACACCTATAGCATATTATTAATAATTGTAGAGTTACATCATTTGATTTGTGATTTATAAGAATAACTTTGACAGCAGGGTAGAAGATGGTTTTATTTTGGAAAGTCTGATTAACAGATTTTAAATTCTGGAAATAAGCTTTTGGAGGCTTGATTATCAAAAGAGGGAAAGAGTGGCTCTCAGCAACAATAAGATAGGAAATTTTATGTCAATCCCTGGTACAGTTTTAGCATAGACTATTCAACCAGTGCTTAAGGGTATACATTGAAGGGTATTATTACAGGATTATTCATAGTAACAATAGCCAGAAGCCGTATGAATGCTTATCAGTAACAGAATATTGGTAGTGCCTCCACATTCTAGAATGTTTTCTAGCCATTATAAAGAATGAGATAGATTTATAATAGTTAACTTGGGGGAGACTTACATGATGTATTAAGGGAGAGAAGCAAGAAGCAAGTGAAAACTCTATGAAACATTATCTCACTTTTGAAAAATAAATAAATTAGAAAGAACAAGGAAAACTATATGTTAAAAGCAGGAGAAAAGTTATGAATAAATAAACAGCACATTGTTAACATTGATTTGGATGTGGAGAATGGCAGTTGAAGGATTGTGTAGAGGAGGGGAAGGAGGGGCAAATAAGATTGTTTTTAAAAGAAAGGTCTCTATACTTCTGATAGGAGAGATGAAATTCAACTAATGTAAAATTATACATGGGTATATACAAATATACAGAGAAGTCCATGAAAGAATGATCACTAAAATGTTAATAATATTTTCTCAGGGTGATGAAATGTTAGTGTTTTTTCTCCCTAACATTATGCTTTTCCATATTATTCACTCTTTAATTTTTTTTATTTACTTTTTTTAACCAAAAGTTCTCTTATTGTATTTAGTCAAGAAAAATACTATTAGAAAGCTACTCAGACTGTGAAAAGGGCACTACTGAGCTGCTCATGATACTGGTGACCCTCTCATTAAGCACAATCTTTATTGTTTTCAAATATTCTGAGCCCATCAGTGGAGCATAGCCACCAGTGGATTTTTAGCCTTTTGTTGTATTTTCATTCTAGCATGCCCTGTTCCAGGAATTTTTTGATCCCTTTTCTCATCATCTGCTGCAAGAGTTCTGACATTTCTAGTTCACTTAGTGCAAGCCATTGTTTTCACCAAGCTTCCAAAACCCATCAAACAGCAGTTATCACCATCTACCTCTCGAGGACCTAACTAGAATGTTAAATCTTGTGTTATGGGTGAGTGCACCCCCTTAGTCTCTTTTCTTTATTAACGTACTCAACATTTCCACGGCCAGATTATGTCATGACTTAACCCTAGCTATTGATTTGGAAGTTGGGTTGGGAAGTGAGAGCTGACAGTAGGAAATGACAGGCTGACAGTAGGAAATGACATTATAGAACTGAGCTACCCAATAGCCATGGAGGTAACAAGATTGCTACATAATAGAAGCCAGGTGGCAGTGTTTAACCACCAGTTAACAAATTGGGCACAATTATTGAGCAGCAAGTTCAGAGTGGCAGCCAGAGAGGGACATGATCTTCAGAAGGCTATGGTTAAAGAAAACACCGAGTTCTTAGGGGCAAGATAGGTGGGCAGCCAACAAAAGTATTACTCAATCTTTACAATAAAAATAAATTAAGAATGGATAATGAGAGAGGCTAAGGACAGCTATTCCAATCCATTGCCCAGTTTCCAGACCTGGGCCAGCTCTTAGATCCAGACTCTCTTGCCTGAAAGAGGTGTCAGATCCCCACCAGGAAAGACCCTTCAACAGAATAGAAAGAATATATGATCATGACTTTCTCAGTATTTTCCCAAAGGGACCTATGGCAATTTACTCAGGTAACTGCACACTGGGGAAAGGGGATTACTCAAGCATTTTGAGGCCTTTTGGGTTCACTGTCCAAGTAGACACTGAAACATGGAGATCTGGAGTTGTAGTCTAAGTCCAGCTCATAGTAGATACACTGGGTCCATGGATTCCCCCCATGAACATCTCTCTGGTCCACAAATGTATACTTGAAAGGACATACGTGGTAGTTGGCAGGACCCCCATATTGGTTTCTTGCCTATAAAATAAGAGCTATCATAGTGGAAAAAGCCTAAAGGTGAAACCACCCACACCCCACCCCCAGCCAAGATAGCAAAATTTTAAAAAATGCACCTGGAGGAAATGGCAGGTATGAGTACCACATTTAAAGACCTAAAGATGCAGTGATGGTGGTTCCCATCAAATCTACTTTCAATGCACCAGTCCAGCTCTCACAAAAACCAGGTGGATCCTAGAGGAAACAATGAATAATCAAACTCAACCAAGTAGGAGTCCCAGTTGTAGTGAGTGTACTCAATGTGGTATCTTTGCTGAGCAGAGCCTCAAGTGTATGATATTCAGCTGTTGAGCTGGCCATCCCTATCAGAAAAAAAAGCATCAGAACAGTTCACATGTACTTGAGATAGACACCAGTATATATTTACAGTTTTGCTTCAACTTAGATTAACTTTTCCATTAGCTGTAACAATATAGTCTAAATGGAACTAGTCTTTATTAACATCTCAGTCCACTATATCAGTGTCATCAAGTGAGTCATAGATCAGATGAGCAAGAAGTGGCAAGTGCATTGGAGGTCTTGGTAGCACACATGTATTCTCAAGAGTAGCAATAAATACCATAAATATTCAGGGCCTGCCACAGTAGAAAAATTTTAAGTGGTCTGGAATAGGATGGAAAATCCTCTTCAAAATAATGAATAGACGCTTCTTCAAAGAGGACATAGAGACAGCCAATAGATACGTGAAAAAATGCTCAGTGTCACTAATCATCAGAGAGATGCAAATTTAAACAACAATGAGGTATCACCTCACACCTGCCAGAATGGCTACCATCAA